CACTGAGGATGGCTGTGGTGCTTTTCAGGACAGTCCTGGTCTTTGTTGTGAGTGTGACTTCTTGGCTCCAGCGTAGAACCCTCATCCCACCAGCACAGCTCCTTCACCCCACTGGTACAGACTTTCTGGTTTCCAGCACTGACCTTTGGACCTTCCTGGTATGGATCCGTAAAAATGGACTGGCGTGAGTCCCTCTTGTGGGAGGCACTGTCATGAGCTCTGGGTTTTCATCTGGACTCATGTGGGACATTGCTCTGGGATTTAGGCCCTTGACTAAATATTCTATGTTTTTGGTGTTGCAGATAGATTCCCTGCATTTTCTTGTGTTAACTCCCGGTGACCATTATAAAACAATATTATAAACTCCATGTCCTGATTCTAATTGTTCTTTGCACAACCCCTAACTGCAATACCCAGTGCCTTCACAGTATAAATCAAAGTCCACATAAATCATGGGGATAAACTGTATCCAGACCACTATAGTAAGGCACTGTGGTAACTGAATGACAGTTCTCAGAAAGGGACTGCTTCTTCTTGGCCACTCTCTGAGTACAAATCAGAAAGAAAAGATGAGTTGGCAAGCTGGGCACCCTGGAGAATGATGTGGTTCCAGTTCAAGTTCAAACTGGCCTGAAAATCAAAAGACCAATGATATAGTTCTCGTCAAAAGGCTGGCAGGGTCAAGACTCAGGAAGAGCAGATGTTTCAGTCTGAGTCTGAGAGGAGGAAAAAGTGTAGCCTCAGACTCACACTAACCCTCCTCCTGCCAGGCTGAAGGCAGGCAAGAATTTGGATTCGTATTCAGATTCAAATTCAGATTTATATTCTCTGCCTTCCTTCCCTCCTCCCTCCCTTCTCTCTGAAGATTGTACACAGACTCCTGTGCATGTTAGGCAAGCAAATCTACTACTGAGCTGCATCCTTCCTCATCTTAAGAAAGGGTCTCACTAAGTTGCGTAAGATGGCCTCAAATTTGTGATCTTACTGCCTCCTGACTTGGAATTACAGGGATGTGCCACCTACCACATGTAGGAGGGATCTTACTTAACTGAGGAACAGTCAGCTCTTTTGGTCTATTTGGGCCTGTTTTGTTTGTTTGTTGTTTGCTTTTTTTTTGGATGGGACCCAACCACATTAGGGAAAACTTTATTATTTGGGTACCAATTTAAATGTTAACAAAAACACTCAAAAACACCCAGAGGAAAGCTCTCATGGTACAACTAGTGAGTGTGTGGGTACTTACATAACAAAAACATCCTGAATGTTTGACCAAATATCTGGACACAATGTGATATCAAATTGATGCTCAAAATTAGCCATCATACTTACTTACTTTTTAGTGGCCATTTTAGTGGTTGTGAATACCTCATTGTGATTTGATGGCCATTTCTTCCACAAATAATGATAATTGCTTATTAGCCATTTGCATGTCTTATTTGGTGAAAGGCCCACTGATTTTTTATCCCCTTAAAAAATTTTGTTATTTGTCCTGTTGTTGAGCCTGCTATGTTTTGTTTTTTCTTGTGAGCTCATGTCTACTGATGCTTTTTATGTGGGAGATTTGGGAACCTGGCTAAGGGAATATTTCTCCTGGGAGGATTTATATTTATCTCTGCCAGGAATCCAGAGCTATTAAAGATACAGGTCCACTTTAAATTGAAGTTTCTAGGCCATATAATTTCCTGCCCTTAATTTTTCTGTGGCTTTGACGATCTTCTTTGCTGAGCAACAACAAAAATAAGAATGCATAGTTAAAATGGAAGTATTTATAAGGACAAAGGGTTGGACTGTTTGAAATATGGCTGCCTGAATATAGGGAAATCCACTTTGAAACCAGATAACTGGCACGATCACTAATTACGTCAGTTTGAATGGAGTAAGAAATGCCTAGAAGCACCATAAAGCACAGTTCTGGGTGTGTCTGTGGATAACTGAAAACAAACTGAAGAAAGACTTAGCTGGATGTGGGTGGTACCAACCAATAGGCTGGTATCCTGGCTGGACTAAAAAGGGAAAGAAGAAGGAAGTGTCTCCATTTTGGAAGAGCTCCAGTCTTCACTGTTGCCTTTGAATGTTGGTCCTCAGTTTCTCCAGCTTTCCAGTGCAGACTGACTTGGACCTGTGACTCTGCAGGGAGCTTCCAGGCTTTCGATTTTAGATTGGTGCTTCATCATTGATCTGTCCTGTTCTAAGGCTTCTATCTTCTTGGGCTAAACATCTGCTGGATCCTCTGGATTTCCATTGCACAGACAGCCATTGTGAAGTCTTCACTTCTGACCCTATGGATCGTCATTGTGGAGTCTTCTGCCTCCGATCCTATTAACCTGCCTAATAAATCCCCTCGCAGATGACCTGGCCAATGAGCTCCATCTCTAGGGGCCAACGGAGCAGAAATTGGCATCTGGCCTGTAGGTGGCACTTTCTGCATGGCGGGTTAAGCGCAGTCTTCCCTGATGGAGCAGTAGGGCCTATGAGGTTTGGAGCCTGGGGGAGGCCCAGACTCTTGAGTTAACTGCCAGGAGGTTGAAGGTGACCAGAGCTGGGCAGGCTGGGTGGGCGTTCCAACAAGGGGATGGTGCCGCACTCACTCAGGCCCCGCCCCCGGGAGGTGGGAGTGGGCGGGGCCAGCGCCGGAAGTCGTTATCGGAGCCTGGCGCGTGCCAGGCACGAAGGACTTGGCTGAGGGGAGCGAGTGAGGGCTCAGGTTGGGGTTTCCCTTTAGAGACTTCATATCCAGTCAGCTCATCCGCTTCACAGATTTGAGGGGAAGGTAGACCCTGCCCTGTGGAACTGCATCTTTTCAGGTAGGTGCGGCTGCTGGCTGACGAAATGTGGAAGTTTATGAAGGGAGGGCCCAAATCTGTCGGAGTCACGGCGAGGGTATGGGAAGGGCGGAGAAAGAAGATTCCAGAAATCCTTGTCCGGTGGGTGTTACAGCACCTCTCAGGAAAAAATATGGCAAATATTTTAATATTTTTAAAAAATTACAATAAAAGCCATGTGTGGTGGCCTATAATCCCAGCGCTCAGGAGGCTGAAGCAGGGGGATAACCATGAGTTGGAGGTTTGTCTGAGCTACACAAGCAAGTTCAAGGCCAGCCTGTACTACATATCAAGACCCTGCCCCAAAAAGCAAAACAAAACCTCAAAAATGGTGTGTGTGTGTGGGAAATTATAGTAAAAGAGACATTGCGGTGAATCCTTAGATACTCCTGTTGGCTTTGAATACATGTGTCCCATCATCTTGCCACTTTGTGAAGCAGTCTTGCCAATTTCTGGAGTAGTGTCTTGAGTTACTCTATTGTGGCTGCCTTCATGGCTTGAATCAATTCCAAATGTTCCTCTTCCATGGTTATTTTGACTGGGAAGCGCTAGAAACCACAGGGTTCCAGATCCAGTGTTTGGAAAATTTGGTGACTGTTTACAAATTTCATTACAATTAAAAGTCACACTTACCCGTTGAGGTTGGCAGTGTTTCTTTCTTTCTTTTTTTTTCTTTACTGGAATAAAATTCTCAATCATACTCTTTTTGATCACCCTTTATACTAATTAGACAAACTGATCTGAAATCTTGTGTGGGCCTGCAGTTAAGTGGGTCCTGGCTCACTTTAAAAAAATTATCAATGAAAGGGGAAGCTCTGTAGCCTTGAGAAGGGAGACATAGCCAAACTGTAGAGCATAAAAGCGGGTAGGTTAATTCAAAACTACCTATAAAATTGATTTAGGAGTTGTAAGTTATTTTCTTTATATGCATGCTTGATTTCTTTGTGGCTACTACTATATTGCAGTCAGGGTTTCAAAACTTGAGAACAGGCTTATTTTTTAGCTAAGAAAGATTCTTTGCCAGGAGTGGTGGCACATGCCTGTAGACCCAGCTACTAGGAAGGCTCAACCAAGAAGATTGTAAGTTCAAGGGCAGTGTAGGGATTTAGGAAGACCTTGGTCTCAAAATTAAAATAATAGGGTTCAAGGAAGTAGCTCAGTGGTAGAGCTCATGTTTAGCAAGCCCAAGACCTTGTGTTGGATCCTAAACATGAAAAAAAAAAGGTTCTTCAGAGAATTGGTCAGAACAGTGAGAGGAGCCCCTTAGATTGGGAGCCTTGAATTTTATAGGTTTTAAAGTAATTTTGAAGAGGCCTTGCAAGTCTTAGATTTGAGAGATTAGAAGTAGAGGAGAGACTTATCCTTAGTTACCTTCGGGAGAGAAAATGTAAATTAAATGGAACCTGTGAGACCCAGCAAATACTGTGGACTGAAAGTGAATGGCTCTGCACTTTAGAGACTTCTGTCCTGTTGGAGTTGGGAGAAGATTTTCATAGGAAGGACTTGGATGTAGGTTCAGAGAGGCAATGAAAGAGATTAAGGTGATGAGTTTAATGTAATTATAGACTGGGGAAAAAATAGGACTGTGGTATAGGAGAGGCAAAATACCCATAAGTATTTGTTGACAAGTTTTTTTTTTTTTAAATCGGTACCAGGGATCAAACTCATGACCACACACTTGCAAGGCAGAGCTTATGCTGCTAAGCTAAACCCCAAGCCCTTGTTGGTTGATAAGTTAACTCTAGACTTGTTGTTTTGTACCATAAGTCAAACTCAGGACCTTGTGATTGCCAGGCAGGCACTGTGCTACTGAGCTATATCCTCAGCCCTTGTTTATTAACCAAAATCATCCCCATTTATAAAATTACTTCCCTCTACAACAGATGGTTAATTTATAGGACTCATTCTCTGATAGGCTATTTGGGTAGAAAATGGCTATTTGGGTAGAAAATGTAATTTTTAGAGGAAATTGGAAGGCTTGGGCCTCTAAGGGTATTATAACGGAAGGTGTTTAGAATTTTTCAGGCTCAAATAGAAGCTTTTAAAGTGCATATGTTATAGAAGGCTGATCGTATCACTGGCAAAGTAACTATTTTTTTATGCTTTGTGAGTTTGTATTTCTTGAATAAGAAGGAAAATACATGGGAATCTAATTTTTAAAAGTTGTTTGCAGGTATTTAACCAGGACAGGTTCAATACCTGGTCTTCTATAGATTTTCGATGGATCCTGTCCGCCCACCATTCAGGGGCCATGCTCCTGTCCACCCATCTCAGTGTGTGAGGATGCCAGGCTGTTGGCCACAAGCTCCTAGACCTTTGAACTTAGCTCTGGGAAGAGCAGCATCTACAGGCAGAGGCAATGTGTTTGGAAAGCCAGATGCACTCGGCATGCAGAATCAGCCAGCACAAAGGGTAAGAGCTCATCTGGTTGCACAGAAGTAATATACAACTTACTTTCTGATCAGCAGTAATGAATTTCAAAAGGCTTAAAAATCTGGGAAGCCCTGTACAAAACCAAGGCATTTTTTGGTTTGTTTTCAACAAGTACTTGTCTTACTGGTATACAGTTCAAATCCTAAAACTGTAAGTCTAGAAAACTACCTCATAAAACACTATATGGACTTGGATAAGCACTTTAGGTCGGTCTTCTAGGTCTGTCTGTCTATCCATCCATCCATTTACCCATCCATAATTGAATGGTTTCAGTGGTACCTGTTGTTTTTGTCTAAGTGTTGACATTTTCATCCTGATTGGGCTTCATGGTATTGGCAATAACTGCTACATCTGGGGTAAAACTGTTAGATTTCTTCCTTTCAAAAGCTCTTTGGGCAAATCTTAAAGAAAAAGATGTCTTTAGCAATTAACTATTGCAATGTGAATGTGTGTTCTTAATGTCCTAATTATATAGTAATTTTAAGAATAGTGTTTATAATTAGTAAAGTGCACATACAGACAGAACCTAATAATGCATTTTAATTAGTATTGACAGTGTCAGATGTGATGTTTTCTAGGAAGCAAAATGAGCGACAGTAATTGTGTATTTCATTTAGAATAATTACTTACATACAGATAGCTTTTATTCATATTGTAGCCCTAATTAGTATAACAGTAGTAAAGTTTCAAGGTTACCATACGAAAATACTAGTAGTTTTTTTGGACTGTTTTAAAAAAAGACAAATAAAACAAAAAACAGGTTCAGTCATATATACCTGTAATCCCAGCTACTTGGGAGGCTGAACCTGAAAGATTTACAGGTCAAGGCCAGTGTGAAAAATTCAGATCCTGTCTCAAAATAAATAATAAGAAAGAGCTGGGGATGTAGCTTAATGGTGGAGGGCTTGCCTAGACTATGTAAGGCTCTTAATTCAATCCCCAATACTTCCAAGAAAAAGAAAAAAACTAAACCTCTGATAATCTAAATGCTCTAGCTTCCTTGAAAATTTATTAAGCAGCATACTTATTCCCTGTTATCTTGGGAGTAAATTAGAACAATGGAAAAGGTAATTCTTTTCTCTTGCATTTTGTTACACTGCACATTAAATCATGAACTTGTGTGTATGCATGTACATGTATGTGTGCAGTACTGGGAATTGAGCCCAGGGCCTACCTTTGTACTAAGATACATCTTTAGCCCTTTATAGGATCTCACTATGCAGTTCAGGCTAGCCTTGAGCTCACTCACTTTATAGCTCAGGTTGGTCTCAAACTCATAATGATCCTCCTGTCTCAGCCTCCCGAGTGCTGGGATCATAGGTGTTGGCCATCACACCTGGCTAAAAACATTTTTTTGAGACAAGGTCTTACTGAGGTGCCAAGGCTGGTCTTGAACTTGTAATCCTTCTGTTTTAGCTTTCCAGAGTGTTGGAATTACAAGTGAGCACCACTATACCTTGGTAAATCATGAGTGGCAATGGCTGCTGCTGCTGCTCCTTTTTCTCTTTTTCTTTTTTTCTTCTTCCTCCTCCCTTCTTTTCCTTCTTCTTCTCCCTTGCCCTCTTATTCTTTTTCATTTCTTTGAGACAAGGTCTCACTATGTAGTTCTCGGTGACCTTAAACTCCCTATGTTACTCAGGCTGACATTGAACTTGGAATCCTTCTGACTCAGTCTTTTAAGTGCTGTAATTGTAGGCATGCTGCACCATACCCAATTTTATATCATAGGCTTCTAACTATACTTATGATACAAAATTGGGCTTAAAAATCTAATGTAGTGCCAGGTATGGTGGTGCACCCCTGTAATCCCAGCACTTGGGAGCCTGAGACAGGAGAATTGCTGTGAGTTTGAGACCACTTTGGGCCACACAGTGCATGCAAGGCCAGCCTGAACTAATTAACAAGATGTCTGTCTCAACACAGAAACAACAACAAAAAATCTAATGAAGTAATCAGATGTGATTATAAGTTGAAAAAAAGGTTTTTTTGCAGGGCCATACTCTACTAATGAGCCTGAAAAAAATGTTTTCTTGGGGGCTGGGGATTTAGCTCAGCGGCATAAGCGCCTGCCTTGCAAGCAGGCAGTCATGAGTTCAATCTCCGGTACTGATAATAAGGAAAAAGACAAAAAAAAAAAAAAAAGAAAAAAAGTGTTTTCTTATCAGATTTTATTGGTATATTTTAGACATATATAATGATCACATTCACTATAGAGAGTGTGTACCTGTACATGATGTAACTTGGGCCTTTTTTTTCTTTATTCCTCTACCCTCCCTTCAACCCCTCTTCCTTTCCTTATTTACAAAACTTCTGTTTCTATTTTTCCTTTTTTCATCTTTTTTACTTTTTTCCTTCTTTCCTTTCCCTTCCCCCTACCTTTCTTTCCCTCACCATTTGAACATTTTCTTCCTATTTCACAATATCTAACATACATTTTGGTCCTTATTTACACTTTTGGTTTCTCATATCAGAGAAACAATGCAATATTTAAGCACCTGTGTCTGATTTATTTCTCTTAAGAGTATGGTCTCAAAGTATATCCAGTTACTTAGAAATGTTTTGAGCTTATCCTTCTTTATGGCAGATTAGTGCTTCATTGTATAAAAAAACCCCATGTGCTCTTTATTCTTTCACCAGTTGATGGGCATTTGAGCTGTTTCCAAGTCTTGACTATTACAAAATGTGCCACTATAAACATGAGTGTGCGTATATTGCTGTGGTATATGCTTTTAATTCTTTTGGGAAGATGCCAGTCTACACTTCCACCCACAGTTGGAGAAGGGTTTCTTTTTCCCCACAGCCCCACCAGCATTTTGTTATTGGTTGATTTCTTGATAATAGCCATTCTTTCTGGGGTAGGATGGAATCTCAGAGTTGTTTTAATTTGTCTCTCTCAAATGACTGGTGATTTGAACATTTTCTCATATTTTTTTTTCTGTTTGTACTTCTTCATCCAAGAAATATGTATTCAAGCCAGATGCCCATTTTTAGATTGGGTCTTCATATTTGTGGGTCTTCATATTTGGGGATCTGGGGTTTTTTTGTTTTGTTTTTTTCAGTTCTTTATATAGCTGTCTTGGTTACCTTTCTCTTGTTGCTGAGACAAAATACCTGATGCCAAAAATGAAGAATGGAAAGGGTTGTTTAGTTTAGTTTTTGGAAGTTTCAGTCCATACTCAGCTGCCTCCAAGACAGGGTGAAATGGCTAAGGGGCAAACGTTCATGGCTGCCACAAACGACAAGAGTGAAAAGGGAAAAGGTGGGTATAGCTTCCTCCCTCTCTATATTGTATGCTGACTATACCCTTGGACAGATAAAACACGCACACTGCCAATCCCAGCACTAGACAATGAATGAATCACAAACGCTAGATTCAACTGCTCTAGAAAGGCCCACCTCCCATGACTGCATGAGGCTTTGAGGGGACATTTAAACAAACCACAAACAATATTCCAGATAGTAATTCTTTCTTTGAGGAACAGACGGCAAGAATTTTTTCCCCACACTGTGGATCGTCTCTTACCTCTGTTGTTTATTTTGCTGTGCAAAAGTGTTTTAATATGATGAGATCCCAGTTGTCGAATCTTCATGATAGTTCCTGTGCAACTGAGGTTTTGTTTATAAAAATATTTGCCTACACTGAGTTTTACCTATTCTGTCTCCATTAGATTTAATGTTTCTGTTTTAATATTTAGGTCTTTGATTCATTCCTATTTCAGTTTAGTACATGGTTAAAGATATGTTCTAATTATAATCATGGGCATGTAGAGAACCAGTTTTTCCAGCAACGTTTAGCCTTCCAGTGTATGTGTTCAATAAGTATGTCTGGAGTTGTTTCTGCATCTTTTAATCTGTTCTATTGATTCTTGGGTCTGTTTTATTTTGCCACTACTATGCTGTTTTTTTTTTATTATACTAGCTTTGTAGTATAATTTCAAGTCTGAGATTGTGATGGTCCCTACCTTGCCATTGTTGCCAAGAATTGCTTTTGCTATTCTTAAGTTTCTTCTGGTTCCAAATGAATGTTAGTATTTTTTTCTCTAATTGTATGAGATTTGCTGTTGGAATTTTTAAAATTTTAATTTTAATTTTTTATTTTTATTGGTACCAGAGATCGAACTCACAACTGCCCACTTGCAAGGCAGGCGCTTATGCTGCTGAGCTAAATCCCCAGCCCCACTGCTGTTGGAATTTTTAATCAGAGTTGCATAATCTGTATAAAAATTTTGGAAGTGTGGCTGTTTTGACTATATTGGTTCTTCCTATCCAAGAACAAGGGATTTTTTTCCCATTTTCTGGTATCCTCATCAACCTCCTTTTTCAGAGTGCTGTAGTTTTCAATAGAGAGGGCTTTTACTTTCTTCATTAGATTGATTCCTAGATATTTCACTTTTTGGTTGCTATTGTGAAAGGTGTTTTTTTCCTAATTTCTTGCTCAGTGAGTTTCTTATTCATGTATAGGAAGGCTACTTTTTGAGTGCTGATGTTGTATCCAGCTACTCTACTGAATTTGGTTATTAAATCTAGAAGACCTTGGGTGGAGTGTTTGGGGTCTTTTTAGAGTTTCATGTCATCCACAAATAATGATAATTTAACTTCTTCCTTTCCTATCATTATTTCTTTTATTTCTTTCTCTTGTCTAATTTCTCTGGCTAAACTATCTAAACTATATTGAATAAGAGTGGTGATAGTGGACATCCTTGTCTTGTTCCTGATTTTAGAGTAAAAGTTTTCAGTTTTTGTCCATTCAGTGTGATGTTGGCTATTGGTTTGTCATAGATGCCTTTTACCTACTCCAATTTTGTAGGATTTTTATCATAAATGGGTATTGGACTTTGTCAAAAAACACATCTATTGAAATGATCATATGGTTTTTGTCCTTGTTTCTGTTAATATGATGTGTTACATTTATTTATTTGCATATGTTGAACAATCCTTGTAGTCCTGGGATGAATCCTACTTGGTCCTAGTATATAATC